AACCGACCACAATGGTCAATTTCTAGATGTAAGTCAAGATATGAAGCAGACTTAACTGTATCTGTTGTTCCTTTATCTCAAGTTCGATGGGATAGATGCGTTCATCATAGTCACCAAAGTTTGATTTATTTAGGGAAAGAACATCATCTATATAGCGGAAAGTGAAGTTAAAGGATACTTCGTTTCTTTCTTCATAAGAAGCTCCTGTATGGAGACAGCTAGCCTCATATGAATAAAGGAACAAATCGGCAAGAAGAGGAGCACAGTTGGTTCCCATGGGAATACCGATTGTTTGTTGAAAACCACGTCCTCCAAACGTAAAAATATGTTCAATGTTGTCAACCAAGAAATCAAGCATCTTGATAATGTCAGTTTCAGAGAATTTTTGTCGAGCCTTCGACTTTTGTCGAAAAAGCGAGACATAGCGATCCTACATTCCGTCGGCGTGGTCGGCGTCGTTGGCGTCGTCGACGTCGGCGGCGTCCACAAATATTCACTCTGTGGTTAAAATTTTAATAACTTTCTTAAACTATTCTGGATTTCTACCAAACTTGGACAGAGGCTTGTTTATGATCGTAAGATAGTATCCAGAAGTAAATTTTGTATAAAAAAAACCCTGTTTTCCGTATTTTACTTATAAATGGTCTTAGTTTTTCTGCCAGTTAACATTACATTCACTCTGTGGTTAAAGTTTTTAGAATTTTAATTACTTTCTTAAACTATCCTGGATTTGTACCAAACTTGGACAGAAGCTTGTTTATGATCATAAGATAGTATCCAGAAGTAAATTTTGTAAAAAAAAAATCCTGTTTTTCCGTATTTTACTTATAAATGGACTTAGTTTTTCTGCCAGTTAACATTACATTCATTCTGTGGTTAATGTTTTTAAAATTTTAATAACTTTCTTAAACTATCCAGGAATTTTACCAAACTTGGACAGAAGCTTTTTTATGATCAAAAGCTAGTATCTAGAAGGAAATTTTGTAAAAATTTATTTCCTGTTTTTCCGTATATTACTTATAAATGGACTTCTTCCAGTTAACATTACATACAGTCTGCAGTTATTAGATTCATAAACCATCCTGGATTTTTACCAAACTTGGACAGAAGCTTCTTACAATCAAAAGATAGTATCAAGAGGAAAATTTTTAGTATTTTTTCCCCATTTTTGTTGACATAGCAATCCTACATTCCGTCGTCGTCTGAATTAAGGGATAAATCATCAAACAATGTAAAACTTATCTTCTTTATCATTTGTTCATTCAATAAATTTATGTTTAAACTCTTTTATAAATCTATAGATTTGATTGCATACTGTATTCATTTTTACGAGCATAACTTTTTCCATACATTTCAAACGTTTTATTTCATTAACTGTAAATCTATTATGTGCATTCCCCTATCACACTGAAAACATAGATAACAGCAAAAGTAGGCGAGACACTGGGTTCCGCTGAACCCTTACGAATTTTTTGTTTGAATCAGAGTGACTTTTTACAAGGTTTCGAGAAGCATTTGGAAGCAATATAACGTTGGTTGTAAGGCAACTTATGTAGTTTAGGTACCTAATACAGTGAAGGAAGATCCAGTTCTTCATCTTTGGTTGAAGTTCCAAAGGAAACATAGAGCAGACCTATGATTGTCCAGAGGATTTCCTCCTTGGTAAGTGTCGTGGGGGTATAGCACGTTAAAAATTAATTCTTCTCAGCGTGTCGGTCCAGTACAAAGCAGGGTAATATTTATTTTACATTAACATGTTCCCGTCCTGAATATGCATATTAATTTGCCACTGGACGTTAAGCAGCCATCCATCATCATCAGCATGTAAAATAAATAATTTAAGACAGTATTTCTCTACCTACATTGTTAATGAACTAATCAATTCAATTAAAATGATAGTCTGACGAGTTTTAGACGAAATAAAATTGATGAGGAGACTTCATTTAACTTGTAATATAGGAATGCGGTTCCTTATTATTTAGCTTTCTTGGTCGGTAGTATTCAACTAGCAGTTGTGGCTACGTAAGCTAGCTTAATGGAAAAGCTAGCACGATTCAAGTTATGTGCCGTCCATGATTTCCTTGTTCATGTTAGTCGTCATCCTGTTGGTAAGCTAGACCGTTCAAGTTAGTGGTAATTCTGTTGTAAGCTAGACCGTTCAAGTTAGTGGTAATTCTGTTGTAAGCTAGACCGTTCAAGTTAGTGGTAATTATGTTGTAAACTAGACCGTTCAAGTTAGTGGTAATTCTGTTATAAGCTATAATGTTCAAGTTTGTGGTCATCCTGTTGGTAAGCTTGACTGTTCAAGTTGGTGGTCATTCTGTTGGTAAGCTAGACGGTGCAAGTTTTTATCTTGTGCTTTACTCTACGACATATGGTCTAGATAGTTCAAGGCGGATTTTATTTTGCGCTTGTAAAACTGATTTCACACTCTACTACAGATTGTGTCACTAACAAGTCAGGTTTTGTGGACCATGTGAAGTTCATTTTTTTCTTGGATTTTGGTTTTTGGTAAGTTATGTCTTTGTTATCTCTATATATCGGTATTATACAGAGTTAAGAAGTGATGCGAAAGATACCAATGGGTTATTCAAACTCATAAGTCGAAAACAAAGTCAAATAATTTTTCGGTACGTTTCTTCTTGTTGTACGTTCTTAGATGTATATTTTATAATTCCACTAGTCGAGATTAAAAAGGAACTGTTCACATTAGTATTAAGCCGTCGCATGTTTATGTTCCTGTCCCTAGACTTCATTGGTTGTTTTTAGTTATTCCTTAATTTTTGTCATTTTAGAAATCAAGCGTTGGTGATGGGTATTCGTTAATCTCTGTTAAACTTATTCGAAACTTTTCTAGACTCGGTAGCGATTTATAGCTGACAATAAAGCTTGACATGCATGTGTTGTATTGAAATCAATAACATTTTTCATTCGAATTATCCGGAAATTTCCGATGCACTTCCCCCTTTCCTTCATTTATATAACCCAGACCCGCCATTGATTAGTTTCATACATTTGCTGAATATAATTATTGCCTAAAATAAATTACGGAAACCCCTTTCCTCTGATTCAGTTGCTAGGGAAAATACCATACTTCCTGCATGAGCTAAAAGTTTCATTGTTCATAGGTTCTTAAAACAATCATGCTGTTCATTGAAGAACTTCGTTTAATCGGAAATAACACATCAACATCTCAACATACTCTATAAATTGCTGTCTAAATATTGAAATAACCATTTTCCAATGAAGCCTAAACGTGGTATTAACATGTAGAAATGAATTGAGTGTGATCTAGAAGTTCTAATGGACTATATCGACGTAATGTCGTGTTACATGCCTAAATGTACCTCTGGTTGCCAGAGTCTCGACACATGTTGAAGAGACTAATTGATATTTCATTTCATATACCAATACATTAATGGACATGTCATTCTCAGATATAGGCTAATGCTAAGTAGACATGTAAATTGGCAAAAATATAAATATGAAAACATGCAATATTGTCTGGGTTATGAATATCCCGAGATGATGTATACGCTTTTATGTATAGTGCATCTATAATGTGTAGGGTTTGAATTACGAGACAAACAATTTGATTTATAATGGACTCGTGTATGTGCATGAATCCATTGTCTTTTTTTTTTTATTAAAATTTAGAATTGATGTAGGAATGTTTGGTATATTATATGACAGATATAGAACCTTTTGTATGTAAAAGTATCTTCACATAAAATTATTACCGATAGACCAACTTTATCTTCGTGTAGAACGATATTTATTTAGGCATCCAAGCTTACAATAATATCTAGTTGATTCAGTAAATTAAAATGAAACGAAATATGATATACAGTGTCATTTTTACTTGGAATATATCTCAATCAAATACTGTAGTTCTGAAGAGCACCTGGCAGACATTAATCAGCATATCATAATTAACAAAGTAAGCGTATAACAGCTGCATACCTCGCGTCACACATTTTATTGCTCATATTGTGATAAGCATCACCACACTACTTTATTATCAGAAATAATAATAAAACATCGAAAATCCCACTATGTGAAATTTTATTAAGGAAATATTGGTTGATGGTCTGGTATTTAACGCTCAGTGTGTAATATTACATTTACATTAAGAACAGGAACCAATTTTACAAGAAGTTATACGAGAATTGATCGAAACTAGAAGTTAGAAATATTGACTGTAAATGAAAAGTGTTAACAATAATGCTGAGAAAATCTGAGATTTTGTCAAGCTGCAGTTGTTAAGTGCTATTTAAATTGTTGCAGAATTAATAATTTTATTAATAATTTTCCCCTTACATATTTTGATTTAATCAAACTTAAAATGACGATAGTTATATTTGTATATTTAAGTCGTTAACTTGCTCTAACATCGGTTAAAAGATTTGACTTTAAAGTAGACAAGGTGAGAATAGAAATAAGGACCGGAATGATGATACAATGCCATTGTTATGAAATGGCATTAATAAATGAAATACATGTTTATACATTATCTAAAAAAATACAACATTGTTTAATGCACTTGGTCTGGCTAACCTGATCTTATACATGGATGTATTTATTGTATAATCAGAGTTTAATGCACTTGGTCTGGCCAAGGACGTATAACTAACTAATATACGTCCTTGGTCTGGCTAACCTGATCTTATACATGGATGTATTTATTGTATAATCAGAGTTTAATGCACTTGGTCTGGCTAACCTGATCTTATACATGGATGTATTTATTGTATAATCAGAGTTATTTCAGTTGTTTTATTAAAGAGAGTGGTACCAATACCTACCTCTTTTCTATACACACGATCGATTTTAAATACTAATCATACATTTGAAACATCAGTGACCAGCAAGCTGACCAGTAAGTTACAATTGTTTTGCTGTGGTATAATAAAATATCTGCTTTTATTTGTAAAGAATTCATTACTAAATTCACAAGGTTCTAATGTTGCAGCTCATCTGATTTAATTGAATATTTTTAGATTGGAGCTAACGCTATTCTGTTTCTGTGTGTAAATGTTGCTGGTGTTTTTATTCACAATGTAACGCAGAGGTCACAACGGAAGACGTTCATAGATACTCGGAACTGCATAGCAGCTAGACAAGAAATAGAAGACGAGAACGAAAAGCTGGTAAGTACACTGACTATATCGCCATCAACAACGGGTTCTGATGCCCCACAATGAAGAAAATCAAAGTTGCTAACTGACGATGTAATTGGTTGACGGTTGTAACATCTATGTTGTATTGATTATCATGTTAGCAGTCTCCTAGCTCAAAGGGCTATGTGAGTAATCGCCATCACTTGGCATCCGTCGTCGTCGTAAACTTTTCAGAGACTTCTTCTCTGAAACCGCACTGGATCAATTTCAACCAAACTTTATCTGAATGATCCTTATTTCAACCAAATTTTATTTGATCCTTATGATATGTTGTATAAAGTTTGTATTTTTTTATCCTGCCAAACAACTGGCATGGCTGTCAAGACTTAAGAAAGAACATAAGAGTAAAATGCATTTATTGACTTATTATATCTTGAAAACCATAACAGATAAAGGGTAAACATGCTTGTAATGTCAAGATCTACCTCATACCGATTTCCACCAAGATTATCAGATGACTCTTTATAGAAGTTATTGCCCCTAAATGACGATTTTTGACGATTTTTATTTAGTTTTTGCTTAATATCTTGAAAACTATATTAGATTAGTTATAACTGTAAATTAACAGCAATAACGATCAACAATTCAAGATCTACAAATTGCCCCAATATGACAGAAACCATTGAATGACACTTTAAAGGAGTTATTGCCCTTAAATTACTATTATTCTTACTAATTTACGAGTTTTTTCCCTTTATCTTGAAAACTATAATAGATAGTTGGAGACTGAAAAATGAAAAAAATATCAGTTTGTAATCAAGATCTATAAAAATGCCGTTATGACCGAAACATTTGAATTACTTATTATGGTAGTTAGTGCCCTAAAAAGACAATTTTGACTTTTTTTTTAGTATTAGCCAATTATCTCGTAGACTATGAAGGATATGTAGAAACTGAACCAGCAAAAAAAATTATTAGCAATTATAATAGAAGATGTACAATCATGTTATTATGACAGAAACCATTGGTTGACTTCTTATGGGAGTCACTACTCCGAAATTACACCTCTTTTAACATAATTTTCTAGTTTTTGTCTTTTATGTCGAAAAATATAATAGATAGGTAGAAACTAATATAAACAGCAAAACACATCAGCAATACAAGATCTAAAAAATTGCCATGATGACCAAATCCATTGGATCATGAACCCGTATATGAGTAATTACCATTAAGGATGTAGTCAGGTGACATTAATAAAATCTAGAATTTAAAATTGATACTATACATCAGAAGAGCATTAGGTAAGGAACAAAATAAGCTAAAAAATATTGATAGGTTATGGAACCCTCCTTTTCGAGATATTTGATTTTTTTTTAAAATGGCGGGAAAAGGCTGACTCTAGCTTTACCTAATATTTAGCATTGGCATTATTTCGGTCTCAAATCGTAAGAAAAGAAATCTAGAATCTGCTTAAATTTTGTTAATGATCTTTTATGAGCTATTGAAGTCTCCTATGAAAAGAAAACTTAAAGTGAGTGATATGGGGCAAAATAATTTACTCTTTATCGTAGGAAAAAACCAAAGGAGTCCGAACATTTGACAAATATTCCTAAACTGGATATGACTACATCCTTAAATGACGATTTTTGACTAATTTTCGAGTTTTTCCTATTATTTCATTTTTTGACAGGAAGCAATTCAGGTTCTTAGAAGCCTCTTGTTCATTGGTGAGTTTTGTTCTTAGGCTGGTATGACTCATATGAATAATAAGAGAAAACAAGAGTGATACCCATTTGATACCCATTTGACTGTTTCTTTTCCATTCATTTACAACTTTATAGACTCTAAGTGTCTTGTGTTTCACCAGTTTACCAATATACATGGGGAGAGTTTGAAATTGGTACATGTATACAGTATACAGTTTTGTATTATGATTATTAAAACGCCGGAAGAATATTTTTACATTTTGTAAACCAGAACTTCAAGAAATATCTATCCAGCTTGGCATTACCGCAGTATTATCAAATCTTATGGTATGATTTGGAAATACTTTATATACTGGAATATCAGAAACTTCGTTTGAGGGTTGTTTGAGACTGCATGTATATATATATTTATATACATAATTACTCTAAATATCAGCTCAACAATGTTAAATCTGCAAATTTGCGGAAGCAATTTTTTGTTCTTCCCTCACCGGGATTCGAACTCATGCTATTGGGATATCGAGACAACATTGCCTGCACTGTGTCCAGCGCTCTAGACCCCTCGGCCACCTAGACAGAACTAAAAATTCAACTTTCGGTTGCTTAGTATTACTGTTTCTCGTCAGTAGAATCTAGAGTTGTAACACAGTACATGATATATATATAGGCATGAAGATGGTATTGATTGCAGATTAGCTAAATTATCTGTCGTAAAGGATCGTAAGATGCAGTCACAGAAATAATTATATGATAAGTACGTCTAAACAAGTGACAATTCTACGACAGATCCATGTATTGGATCACCAGTGAAGCTGATAACACATATTATATTCATAATTACTCTAAATATCAGCACAACAATTCCGCAAATTTGTTCTTCCCGCGCTGACATTCGAACTCATGCTATTGGGATATCGAGACAACACCACCTGCACTGTGTCCAGCGCTCTAGACCACTCGGCCACCTAGACTGAACTAAAAACTAAGCTTTCAGTGGCCTAGTGTTACCTTTCCTCGTCAGTAGAATCTAGAGTTGTAACACTGTAACATATATATAGAATGACATATAGAAGCATATTCTTGTTAGATTATATTGTTCGGTTCCTGTCATATTGAAGTTAACCCCACTTTTCCTGTTTTTAATAATTATCAAGTGATTTTATCGTTATTTCACTATTGCATTAGTTGTTATTATAAATTTGTATTGAACAGACTACTTAAGATGCTTATAATATCATGTAATTAGAAAACTGATATGTGTCGTACTCTATATTATTAACTGTCATAGAAGGAACGAGTTATTGTCACCAGAGACTTGGATTTAGTTACTAAGAAAGTCATTTGCTGTCTCCGTTTGTAGCATTGCAAATGCATTAACTTTTAAGAAATAAATATTGGTAAAACCTATATCCATCTTGTCCTTTATTTAAAGAATATTGAATAAAACACAAAAGTAATACACTCTTTGAATAGTATTTTGTAAATAAGAGTGTTCCTTGTAAAACAGTTATATAATAATAGATTATTTATAAGAAAAGTATATTGTCGGTGTATGTGTTCGTTTGTCGGTCAAACAAGGGGAAATAACTGTCTCGTTAACAGTTTCATCAGAAGAAGAGCAAGCAAGAGAAACTATAAAATTAAACAATGGAGAAAAGAAAGCCAAACAAGTAAACAAAATAATTCTGCCAATTGGATTAAATTACATCACACCAACAAAATGCAGGACGGATTTCGGAAAAACGTATGCAGTGCATGTAGGTCACACCAATCTTAAAAATATGTTGATTCACCATACAAAGATGACACAATAGACTTCTCCGAGGCGTTTGATCTTGTAAACTATGTATACCTTTTGGTTGCGAGGCTCAAATTCCTTGACTCCTCCAACCCTTATGAACACAACCCATGTTAAAACACTCAGCGTGTGTAACCGACTATTGCTATTTGGGTTAAGGCAGAGATAAACCAACCAGGGGCTGACTATTATTTTGAAACCAGTCTTAACATGTCTAACAAAGGTGAAAAAAATAAAAAAATAAAAGAAATACAATTTTACAATGTATTAATAATCAATGAATGATAATACAGACGGCATGTATAGTGTAAAATGATGACACAGTTCAGTACATAAAGAACTAAGTGGTATGTCTAAGCATCGAGCTGTGGTTAGCCACAAATTATGTCTAAAAAAACGTTGATCTGCAAAAGTTTTCTTTTGGCTGCAAGAGAAAAGATAGCGATAGTATAGTATAGTGTTAAGATGTATTGTCCTCCGATTAAGATGTATCCTATAGCGATAATACTATATAGTGTTAAGATTGATCCGATAGCGATAATACTATTTATTATACCTCAGTATGTTTTTTCTATATAAAAAAGGATGAAATATTTGTGCTATTTCACTCCACAGACTATTTGCCAATCAATAGTTTCAAAGACTATTACCCCGGTCAATAGTTTTATAAACATATTTCCCGTACTTTTTCATACTAATTTTTCATTGGCGTTCATTATCACTGAACTAGTATATATATTTGTTTAGGGGCCAGCTGAAGGACGCCTCCGGGTGCGGGAATTTCTCGCTGCATTGAAGACCTGTTGGTGACCTTCTGCTGTTGTCCGTTCTATGGTCGGGTTGTTGTCTCTTTGACACATTCCCAATTTCCATTCTCAATTTTAACAATGACGTCATCGACTATTCTGCTTGGATTTGTGCGCTTTGCAACGTTAAACTCTGAAATATCGTAAACGTTATAATATGTATGTATCTGTCGTAATTTCAAATTAATATATTACTTACCAGAAGCAATTGAAAAAGAAAATCTACGAGACATATTTTAAGAACTAAAACATGTAATGTATGGTGTTGGTCTGTCGTCGTCTTCATAATCTGGGATTGCTTTGGTGTACGGTAAAATATTTAAGCTAATGTTTATCATATGCATGGCAATTTTTACACAAGGATTCCTGGTCTTGATTACAGTATATAGATTATTGACAAATACCACACAGGGAAAAAAACCTGATAGTTCATCTTGTACATGTCTATGTGATCATTTTTTTTCTTCAAGTGGTGTATGTAGTCTTTTTAGAAAGTTGTTTTGTTCGGTATAATAAAACACTTAATGACTGGTTATGAGATTAATAGCAAGTTTGTTGTCCCTTTGAAACTAACTATTGCCCTCGGCTTCGCCTCGAGCAATAGTTGGTATCTCAGGGACAATAAACTTGCTATTACTCTCATACCCAGTCAATATGTGTATAATATTGTTACGATGGATCTGATAGCGATAAAATATTATATAGTGTTCAGATGTATCT